CACCTAGAAGTGGTCAGGGCTCACAACTGTGTGCTCAGGAAACTATTCTTCAGGCCCATCCTCTACCCACTCTTAAATCATCCAGAGTTCAGGAATGATATCAAAACAGAAGGGGGGGGGGGAAATGGCGTGATGTGAATTGTCAAGTTACTGAGAGAAAAACAGGACAACGCACTTGCTGGAGAATTCATTCAGGAAGGGTTCAGGCTTAGGGTGGAGCCACATACTGGATGTGGTGAACAGCACAGGCGGAGATAATTCTATAAACCTTTCTCCCTTCCTTAAAAGTAGTACATAGGGCTGGAGCAATAATACAGCCTGTAGGGCACTTACCTTGCACGTGGCAGACCAGGTGCAAACTCCCAGCAGCCCAAACAGTCCCTGAACAACCCCCGAGTGATCCCTGAGCACAGAAAACAGTCCTGTGCCCTTGTGGGTCAGAGCTGAAGGCCCTTCCCAGCTTTCAGAGGCTTCTCTGCTCTTTGGTTTACGGATCCTTCCAGTCGTCAAAGCTAGCGATACAACCCCTAAGCACCACTGCACGTGGCCCCAAACAAACCAAAAATGTGGCACAAAGATGCCAAGATTATTCTATAATAATGTTTTATTCTATAAGTAAAGATATATTTATATCTTATATATAAAGATATATAAAATATATATTATAATATATAAAATAAAAATAAATTTATTCTATATAAATTGATATTATATATATAAATTTATATAAAATATATTATATATAAATATCTGGATTTTATATCCAGATATTTATATATAATATATTTTATATAAAAATCCAGATTCCGGAACCGCGCGGCCGCGAATGACATCTTATCAGAACTTTTTTTTATGACATCTTATTGTCTCATTACTACTTTGGACAAACTTGCAGGCTATCGAATGTAGCCTGCCCACAGGGCAGAGTCTGACAAACTCCCCGTGGCGTACCAAATAAGCCAGATACCAGTAACAATGATGAGTCTCATTCTCCTAAATAGCCTTGAATATAATCTCAGGGCTAGGATGAAAGAGACGTTACTGGGGCCTGCTCGAGGCAATCGACGAAAATGAAAAAATGAAATGATATATAAACATATATAAAAAATCATATAATAATAAAAGGACCCTGATGTGGAGGAACAAAGGTCACTGAATTGACACCTGAGTCTGCGGACAGCGCCACCCAATGGTAACGTCCTCTTCTCCCTGCTCCTCGGAGAAGGGTCAGCCTGAGCTCGGTCCCGCCACGCCCGCTGGCTCTCCGGTGCCGCCACGGCCCAGGTGCTCCCGCCGTGGGCGCGCAGCCTCCCCACAGATTCAGAGCTGCCTTTCAGGGATCACTGCCTAAGTTTCTCCCCCGGGGTCACCACTCCCCGGGTCCTCCCGGGTTGATGCCACTGTTCCGACTCTCGTGAGATTCTGGGCTTGACTTCCCCCTTTCTTTTCCCGTTTTGCTTTGGCTCTCTCAGCACGACACTGGAGAGGAGCCGGAAGCGACCCGGTGTTCCCGAGACCCGATGAGCGGCAGCCGAGGCCCCGACTCCAGCGGGTGTGGCCGAGGCGCTCGGCCACGAGGCGCCACAGCGATAGCGCAGGCATGCGGGGTCCGCGCTGCCGCGGACGCTGGCAATCCAGGTCGCCGCGCCCCGGCCGCGGTCACTAGCGAGCGGGCGGGCGGGCGGCAGGACACGCGCTGCCCACACGGAACTTCTTAAAAAAGTCCTGGGGGCGGGCGGGCTGCCAGCAGGGGAGAGACCGAATCGGGCGCGGCCACCGCACGCGGGGCTGCCCACTCGCCGCGCCCTCACAGGCCGCCCTCCCGAGAGACACACGGGCTGGCGGGCCCACAGCCCCTCAGACAGGCCGCCCTCCCGGGACAGAGACGGGAACGGCGGGGCCCCACAGCCCCTCAGACAGGCCGCCCTCCCGGGACAGAGACGGGAACGGCGGGGCCCCACAGCCCCTCAGACAGGCCGGTGCCCCCGGGAGACAGAGACGGGCTGGCGGGCTCTACAGCTCCTCAGACGGGCCGCCCTCCCGGGAGAGAGACGGGAGTGGCCGTGCCGCCCCGCAGCTTTGGGCCTTTCTCGCTCCCGCCACATGGCGGTGACATCACGCGAATGGACGAGAGTCTCGCGAGCTCACGGAAAGGAACGTATCGCGAGAGCGCGCGGCATCTCCCGGGCCTAGAAAAGCCCCGGGGACCGGCGCAGCCGCCTCTCGAGCTGTGCGTACCCGTGAGCCTAGTTTGGTTCCCTGGCGGCGGGTAGGTGGGCCTGGCGGCGGGGACACGGACTGCACCGGGGACTTGGGCTGCGCGCAGGAACACGGGCTGCACTGGGGACGCGGGCTGCGCGCGGGAACGCGGCCTGCAACGGGGACGCCGGCGCCGCCGCGGACGGGTGTGGTCCGAGCCCTGCGCATGCAGGCCGCCTTCGTGTTGCCCGTTCGCTTTGCTGCTAGTGAACGCGGTGTCAAGAAAGGCGCAGAGCAAGACCCTCGGCAGGGCTTTCCCGCCGGCGACGTCGTCCCGGCACAGGAACTGCCGAGGGACAGCCGCATCGGGGAGCCATGCTCTGTGGGAGCGAGCGGGGGCTTGCGTAACCCGGCGTCTTTTTCCTCCTAGGGGCCCGTTTGCGGCGGACCAGCGAGCTGCACGCATCAGGCTTCGGAAGTCCGGAGCTGGAGGGGATTCGGAATTAAGGTGCTTTCCATTCAGCTATGGTCAGTTCGATGCGGGTACTGCATGGGGGCCCCTAAATTCTGTGACTCAAAAATGCCCTAAATAAAGAAAATTTTCTCAAGGAGAACAAGGAATGCTAAACTTTGTGTAGTATGCATTTTGAATGGTGTTGCAGTGTGTTTCTTGGGAGAGGTTATCAAAGGGATTTTTTTCTCCGGCAGCAGAAAAACAAATTTCAGATGTTAGATTGATATGCAATGCTCAGTCGATGGTAAGTAGAGACAGGCCAGAGCAACAGTACAATGGGTAGGACATTTGCCTTATAAATGAATGCCTCTGGGTGCCCCCAAAAGAAAAAATCTAGTGCTAGGCCCTTATTTCGAGAAATTGTTTGTGTGTGTTTTCCCAGTGCCTCGTGCATGACATTGATTTAGGCAGGGAGATAAACTAAGGCCCCGGACGATAAAACAGGTCAGCAAAACTTCTGGGAGGAAAATTCTAAGGCTGATCCACTTTGTGGATATGGATAAGACTTGAGCAGTGGACCCTGAGATCAGACCTCTTCCTCAGTCTGACTAACTTTAGTAATTCAGCCCAAAGAAGACCACCACTCCCGACCTCCTTAACAACTGACTTTTACCTGGGAAGAAGCCTATAAAAAGCCACCCTGAACAAAGAAAGGGCATACATATGCTGCCTGAGCCCACGTGCTTTTGTGCCTACATGGCTGGACACGTGTCGCCCGCATCTCCCCTCTAGATATGTACTTTAATGCTTTTGTGTTAAATGCTGGGATGTATGTATGTAGGGGCTCTCTCCGCCCTTGGAGAAGCTTGTATTCTCTCTTGAGTGCGTTACTTCACCCCTCCACACCTTCAAAATTCCTCCAAATAAAATCTGTTTCACTGCTTGTCTACTGCTTTCTGCAAGGTGAGGCAAGAACCCAGTAACCCTGGATCTCGGGTGGCAGAGGCAGATGGGGAGAAAGTGACCATCTTTCTCCTTCCCACTTTACATAAGTCACCCACGGGGTCCACCGACATCAGCATCACTTTTTAGGGGGGTTGTCGGGTCTTGGTGTCTCTGTTTTTGAAAGAAACAGAAGTATTCTGGCAATGAAAGTTTATTGAAATGTATTAACGAGGGCAGGGAGTATAGTTGTAAACTAGACTGTCTTTGCCCCTGGACATGGAAGAAATGTCATCACAACACCTACTGTGGGACAAGTCTTGTACACAATAAGATTTCAACTTGGGGAGACCTGAGAACACCCGGTTTGAGACTTTGGGTGTTTGGGGGTGTGGTGTGCTGAGAACTTGGATAAAATAGGTTAAGGCCAAACTGGTGACAGCATACCTGTTTTTCCTTAATTTCTAGGGATTTAAGCAAGACTTTTGAGACTTAAAGGTAGCCATAATGTGACTAGAAGAGTTACAAGAATTAGACTTGACATGTAAGAGAACAGGCTTGAGGACCTGAACAAGGGGTAAATTGGGGGCCACAGTAATTTTCAACTAAACAAGAGAACTACCTTGGGCCCCAGTTGAAGTGGCACAATAAGTTAGAAGCGACCCCCTACAAGGACTGTTGATCAGTGAGTGCACTGACAGGCATGATGACCCTGAGATAGAGGGAAGGATATTCAAACAGGTTGAACTCACCTGTCAAATCTAGGGTCTCTTGGCAAAACACCTATAAACTAGAAAAAAGCATGAAGGAGCCATTTGGGGCAGAAGGGAAGATCAAGAGACCCATGGTCACAGATAATCCTGTTAATGTGAGGGAGAATGCAAGGTGGAGAGGGGTCCTGTGTGAGCTGATCAGATGGTCTCAATGTAAAATAAAGGCAAAGATGGATGAACTTGAATATGGTAATGCAGGATAGAAAAACATGAAGTTACCTGCAGAGAAGGAAGTGTCTGTCTTTGGGAGTCAAGATAGAGGGGTTCATTTTGAGATGAAAGTCTTGAAATCCAAGGGTTATTTTTTCCCCTTAGATAATACAAAGATAATACAAATACAAAGCAATATTTACAAACAAGATTATTTTACATGTGTACTTGGATCCATGAATTGCATTACAACCAGAAAATGCCTGCAGCCTCGGAAGCTGAGACGAGCCAGTCTGCACTACTGCACAGAGCTTGCCGTGGGACAGCATTCTCCAACTTGCATCAGGAGCATCTGGTACTGAGGTTGCCAATAATGAATGGTAGGCATCAAGTGAACAAGTTTAGATAGCATCTAGTTGCCAAATAAGAAGTCAGAAAGAAATATCCTGTAAAGCTGCATCTAAAAGTTAAAAACTCATCCGCTGCAAAAATAACTTGCACAGGTCCAAGATAACTTGAATAATTAAATTCACAGCTTCAAATCAAGGTGGCATACCCTTCCCACTCCCAAATCCTTTACTGATGTCAAGTCTTGAGTCGTGAAGCTTGGATTGTTTTTACTGTTTTTACTGTGTGTTTTCCAGACAAATTGCTTGTAGACGTCTGAGATTTTTCTTCAATCAGGCTGTCTTTAGATCCGTTTCTTTTCTGGGGAAAATGGGAAAATTTAGGAAGATTGAAAGAAGATAAGCCATATCATTTTTAATAAATTGGGGTATGCGTAAGATTTTCCTGTATTGAAAGATAGTTATAAGGGTGATCTGATGTTATATGCATAGAAATTAGCTCAGTCATCCAAAATTAATATTCCTAAATCAGGCTTTGCTCTTCCATCCAGCTGAGCACTGGAGAGGACTAAGGTGGGTAGTGAGGCTGGTAAACATGCAACTTCCTGGTGGTGTATTAGGGCCTACTGAGTTCAGCTCCACAACAGTATGTCCTAGGAAAGGCAGGAAGGATGGTTCTCTTCCACAACCACCTGAAGGCTGAGTCTAGAGAAGTCTAACCTGTGCAGTCGGGTAGGTGTCCTGTGCTCTGTTTTGTTAGTGGAGTGGGAGCTCCCAGGGATTCCTGACCAACAAGCCCTTGGTGCCTGAAGGGTGAGTGACCTAAGAGGGCCAAAGGTCTCAACAGATGCAGAGGCAGGGCTCCAGCAGTGCCACTCAGGTGGGGTGAGCAGACCTGGAGCTGGTGAAACACGCTACCTCCAGGCTTGAACTTGTCCTCTTGGACAAAAGCTTTCAGAAGTGAGGAAAAACCACTAGATACTAGCTTCCTGAAGGTATGAAAAGGGGAGGTGTGAGCAGCCTTTTTGTAGGGTTTGGGGTGCTCAGAAGCCATTCTTGGAGCCACCTGGAGGACCATGTGCTGCTGGGAAATGCTAGCATTGGCTGTGCCAGACAAGCACCTGAACCCTACACAATCTCTGGGCTGCCACCAGCCACTATTTTTGTTCGCTTTTTGGAGGGACGGTGGGGGAGGGGGGAGGGTGGGGGGTGGGGGTGCTGCTCACTGTCAATACTCAGGCTCTGCACTACTAATAGCTAGTAATGCCAGTTACTCATGGCGGTAACCATATGCTCGGGACCATAGGAGATCAAATGTAGGTCAGCTGTGTGCAAGGCAAATGCTCTGCCGACTGGAGTCAGCATTTTCTGTAAAGGGCTGGATTCTGAATTGCCTCTTATCTCTTGCACGCTTTATATATATCAAACAATTTATTAAAACCAATAGATCCTAGGCTGTGTAGACAGTGACAGCTAATAAATTGAGCCCAGTTTTCAGATGTGCTTATCTGATACTTGAATATCAAAGCTGTCTCAGAATTCAGCCAGTACCACTGATCAGAAGAGGTATGTCACAATTTAAATGTGGGGACTGGAGCAAGACTGTACAGAGGGTAGGTTGCTTGCCTTGCATGTGGCCGACCTGGGTTGGTCCCTGGTGTCCCATAAGGTCCCAGCAGAAGTGATCCCTGAGCACAAAGTCTGAGAACTACTAGGTTTGTCCTTCCCCCAAATGTATAACTTGCATTTGGAGGGATTTCTAAGTAATAGAAGAAACAGCAGAAATTCAGTTGAATTCCTTCTACTGACTCACTTAACCTCAGACATATAAAATTGCCAAAAAATTGTTCGGTGTCAGAGATACCTCAACGGGCTAGCTGTGAAGGACTAGCTTGATCCCGGGTACCACATCCCTTCAGCACCCTGTTGCTGGGCCTGGGCATTGCACTGGCCAGGCTGGTATCAGTAAATAGAGCACCCAGACACTGAAAACTGCCTCGGAGACCCCATCCCCTCCCCAGATTCTCACAGGAGGTAAATACTACCTGCCCCGTATAGAAATTGAAGCTTAAACAGTTTACTCAATATGAAAGTGGAGAACAGGAGACGAGGTGGATTGAGGCATCCTGAATCCACTGCTGACCGCTCTGCTTGCACAGTCACCTGCTCTCCCTACTCGAGTAGAGTAGTGGAAGGCCAGGCCAACTACCAGGTGCTCCTTTCAAGCTGCATGACTCACCCCTTGGTTGCTCCTGCACTGGAATCCTTCCAGGAACACCCTTTCCCTTAGGGCTGCCCTGTCAAGGCCTTCCCTGAGGTACTGCTAAACAGTGAGTGTATAGGAAGGCCCATCTCCACATCTCAATCCCCAAGCACCTGCTGCTTTCACCGCGGATGTACTGAATCAGAAGTCTGCCTTGACCCAACCAATGCTGATCCTGAGAGAACCAATGAACCCTACCATTAGAATCTGTTTCTGGGGACCATAACTTAGTCTGGCACAGGTGTTGTCTGTCCCCCACTGAAGCAATTGACAGAACTAAATCAGGACAAAAGAAAGGCAGTATATGATGAAAACCACTAGAATCTGGACTCCCCGATTTCTGTGAACTCACAGAACGGAGCATTTATTATGGGTATGGGGCAGCATTCCAAAGGAATCTATGACCCAGCACCAAAGCACTGCAAACAAGATTAACAGACCTGTGTTTACAAACTTCAACTTTGTTTTTTGAGTAGTTGTTTAACTGGTACAAATCCAGCTAACAATCTTAAGCAACATACATTTCCGCCTCCCTCCCTGCCTTTTTTTTTTTTTGGAGGGCGACACCCAGTGGTGCTCAGGGCTTACTCCTGGCCCTAGCTCTGAGCTCAGGGATCATCCTGGTAGACTCAGGGGACAATATGGGTGCCAGAATCAAACCGAGGTACAGCAAAAGCCCTACCCACTAGCATCATCTATCCCAAACATACATTTTCTTATTAAACAGTACACCAAGAAAGCTGGTGTTAAAAAACCTTATGAAATCTTTGCTGTAGTACCCTATATATCTGTACCTAATTCAGTTAACTGACTTTGATAAAACGGCTAGATGCCTTGCTATCTCCTTCAGTGTTCAGAACAAAAGTAACTCACCAATTCTTTAGGACATAATTTTCCTGCCATCAGTTAATTGAGTTTCTGTGCACTAGGAGTTCCTCATTCTGCTTGTCTTTCTGCTCAAAAAAGAAATGTCCCAAATTCATCTCTTTATTCCGGCTCAATCTTAAAATTGTTATTATCCTTATTTTGCCCCAAGTTTCATATCATTTTAGACTCTGCACCTCTCATTCTCTTCTCGTGTTGCACCTTGTCTTGATCATGAGTCACGATCCACTTCCTCTTACACATTTCATACATGTAAAACACAGTCTAAGAGTTGTTAAGGATCAACAGCTCTGCTTTCCTAGAGGGGTTTTCAGAAAGGTAGCTACTCGTACGCTGCCTTCTAAAAACCCATGGCTACTAACCTGATGGACGGTGGAGTCCCCAGAGCCCTGTGCATCAGAGGACCGGGTCACAGGAAGTGGAGGGACAAGATCCATTTTGGAACTGCAAAGAGTGAATTTCAGAATTAATGACTAGGACAGTAGCTAGCCTCACAGCTTGTGCTGAAAGAGGGTCAGAGCACAGGAAGTATGTCTGTCTCCCTGCAGTGCCTACCAAGCTATAGACAGGCACTGCATAAGTTTTGTACTGGACAGGTTACTTTGCCTCAAAATCACAGCTAGTAAAAGGAAGATCCAGGAATGTTTTCTTCTTAGTGTAACATATGATGCAAGCAACTTTGACTTAAGATCTAGAGGGGGAAAAAAAAAACCTTTTCTTTTTTATAAACCCATGGAGACAAAGAGGCAAAGCCTGGTTGGCCTCTGCCCCTGTCGGAGGAACCCATTTCCCACCATACAAACACATACTGCCATTTTGAGTTTTTTCAGAGTCTAACAATCAACATTCTTACCCAGCAATACCAAATTCAAGAATTTGTATAACTGTAGCACCTTGCAAATAGTTAATACATAAATACATATATATTTTGTTAAAATACTCATTTAAAATAACATACTTGTCGAGTTGAGAAATAGTCACTTTCCTCAGAATAGCACAAAGTATTATATTTGCTGCAGCAAAGGATAATTATCATATCTAGAAACTTATAATTTCCCTCAACTCTGGCTGCATTATTCACAATGAAGTTTCATGCCTGCTTCTTTATATCTTAGCTTCTCAAACATTTTGCCTGGCTTGGGAGGCCTGTGGTTCACTGTATCTGGTTGCACCCCTGTTCTCCAGTGACCTCACCCGTCACAGTGTCCTGGAAGGTGCGAGGAGGGACCCCGTGGTGCCTGGCGGGGCAGAGACAGCCCTCCCCATGCCCCCGGACACTTACTTGACCTCAGAGAGGACTGAGCGTTCTCCGTCGGAGCACTGGGATCTGCGGTGCTGGCGGTGGCTCCGCGGGGAGTGTGAGTGCCTGATGCGGACAGGGTCCCCTTGTGTCCTGAGGAGCATCAGAGCACCGTCAGGTGGAAGCGCGAGTCAGTCAGAGCCCCATCACGCAGAAGCATGAGTAAGCATACTGTCACGCAGAAACTCATAGGCAGCTGGCATCCACCTGCCCCAGCATGGGAAGCGTATGTGACTTTATTTTCTCTTCTAACCACCATAGTTTATCTTACTGATAATATTTGGGGGTGTTGCCCCTGTGGTACTCAGGCGAGTGGGCCCCACCAGTGATTCTTCCAGCCTGGGGTTCTAGCACCAGAGCCCAAGGGCACTCAGCCACATGCCAGGGACCATGTGGCATCAGGACCATCTCCTGTGCCCTCCACCAACATTTTAATGGAATATTGCCAGTAAGTGTATTCTTTCCAGATGTGTAGAAGGAGAAAATCCTTCAATGCAAATGAAATGGCATTCTTACCAGGAAAAGTTGGTCACTGTCATTAAGAACTCAACCTTCCATCAGAATATAGGTGGACAGGGGTGAGGACAGGAGCTCACGGGTAGAGCACTTGCCATGGAAGTGTGAGGTGCTGGGCCTGCATGCACACATACAGAGACAGACAGACAGACACACACACACAAACACACACACACACACACCTGAAGAGAACTTTCTAAGCTTCCTCTACCTAAGACTGCAGAAACAGTTCAATGGGCTGAATATATAGTTTGTAAGCAAGAGGCCTGGATTAAAGACCCAGCACCACATGATCCCCTTAAAACCACTGTGAGCACCACAGGGAACAAGCTGTGAGCACAGAGCCAGCAGTAACCTCTAAACACTTTCAAGAGTGGCTCTTCCCAAATGAATTAATAAAAATGTATTGGTTGAGGTATTTCCCATCTGACCAGATGGGAAGGAAAGCATGAAACATAGAAAGGAATTGGGCTGATGAGCAGGTTCCCTGGCATTTCCACAAGTGCAGGGCAGCAGACAGCAGGGCATGTGTTCTGCACTCTGTCCTAAATGGTGAGGAGGGAGCCTTGTTATGTTTCTAGGTGACATGTTCCTGTTCTGGCTTCTGTGGCCAGCATAATTCTCTTGGTGTTAACATAAATAACAGAAAAGAAACCCTGTTACCCACCAACAAAGGACTATTTTTAGGGGGAGGGGGCACACCTAGCAGTGCTAGAGTTTATTTCCAGCTCTTGGCTCAGGGATCACTCCTTGAGTTCTCAGGGACCATATGGATTGCCAGTTATTGAACCTGGGCTGACTGCATGCTAGGCAAGTGCCCTACCCACTGTACTGTGACTCTGGCCCTATACTCATATTGTTTATATCTTATCTGACATTAATCTTCAAAAGTAAATTTGTTAATAGGAAGATAGTTGTTACAAATGAGTCAGATGGGCATTCACGTATAAATACCAATATAATTGTAGCACTGTAGAACTGTCCTCCCATTGTTCATCGATTTGCTCGAGTGGGCACCAATAACATCTCCAATGTGAGACTTCTTGTTACTGTTTTTGGCATCTCAAATACATAATGTGTAGCTTGCCAGGCTTTGCCGTGAGGACAGAATACTCTTGGTAGCTTGCTGGCTTCTCCGAGAGGGGTGGAGAAATATAATTGTAAGAGAAGATTTTTGGAAGACATACTCACTCAACTTTAGTGTATGGAATTTCTTTTAATTGTTCTTCTGACAGTCCAGAAGGATCCACAAGTTCCTTTCTGCAAGGTAAGAAATAAGTGAGTGAAAGTGAGGTGCTGACATGAATTCTAACACCTTTCACAATTGGCATGTGATTTTTCTCTTTGTAACTTCTGCCCAAGACTTTGTGAGTAAAACAAACAGAAATATAATGCAAAAAGTTTTTAACTAAAATTGTATTCAGGAAAAATAGGAAACCTTTTTGGTGAGTCTTCTAACTTCCTCCTGGGTTTCTGGAATTCAGAATTAAATGGTTCACCAGGAATTCCCCCCAACTTCCTGCAAAAGATCTGCTTCTCTTCTGTGGCAGGTCCCGATTTTTCTCCCAAATCTGTTTCCCTTGGTATTTGTTTGTACGATATCAGCTGTCTGAGGCTCATTTCGAGCAAGGCTAATGGCAGCTGCTGGTGTAGCCCTTGATGATGGCCTTGGGCACCACATGGCAATGGCAGCGGACACTCGCCTTGGAATCATTATCCCTGTCAGTGCCACAGAATGACAAGGACCGCACACAGTGGGAGAGTACTCACTGAATATGCTTCCATAACTCTTCTTTCGCTTGAACATCAGGGCTTCTCCTGTAAATAAAGAAAAACAGGGTTTATTTGTGCCTCCCTACCAGCTATTGTCAACAGAGCTCTGAAGCCAGACAGAGGTGCCTGCTGAGACCCGACCAAGGCAGACTGGCCAGGTGAAGCTGACAGGGATGTGAATGAAGACACCCAGAGATTCCTGTGCTAGCAACACTGAGTGGGAGGCACAGGGACACAAAGCACCCATAACCAGGGCATCATGAAGGCCAAGGGCAAATGCACATCCCCAGGGACGGATGAGTCAATGGAATGGTCGGGATGACTATACCTGACCCTTCCTGTCCCTTAATAGTACCACAGAAGACACTCTTCCTGGTCTACGGTTCAAGTTGACCTCTGACCGCCAGGTGACAGCAGCCAGAGGGAAAGGGAAGGTGCCCAGAGGCATTGGTGCTGCAGCACTTGGTACTACAAGGGGCCACCTGACAATTATGCCCTTCCCTGGGCCTATTGCAGACCCTGAGTCTCTTCTCTGAGAACGACTTGGTAAGAATTAATTTTACCATGACATTTCACTTCTGAGAATGAGAAACTCAAAGCTGGCATTCTATGTTCACACTCCCCACAGCAGCACAAAAATACTATGAATCTATTACCACTGCCACCATTGCCACAGAAGGACTTCTTTCCTGGTGAGAAAATGACAGGTTCTTTCAAAAGAGCTGAAGTCTAACAGCCTCAAATAGTCACAGAGAAAAGCCTCACTCACTGACCGTCAAAAGGTCTCCCAGAGCCAGTCCTGTGGAATTTCACATTGTGATGTGTATTGGCATTTTGGGGCTCAGTGCCACATTCAACACCATAGTATTAGTATCACTTCTTTCATTTTATTCTCAGTTAATAAGGGCATATTCCCTTCCCCACACATATTCTGGTGGGGAAGGGAAGAGAGGGGAGGAGGAAGTGAAGGAGTGGGGAGGAGGAGGAGGAGGAGGAAGCTTTCTAGCTATTTGGAGTAAGCAGATTTTTTCCTTTTTGAGGAAAAAAAGTCTGTAAAAATCTTATTTAATCAATTCAAAAGGAGCCAAGATGTGGAAGTAAAGGGAAAAGAGATGGAACAGAAAGTTTTATATGAAATTCAGACAAAAGGCAACACTTATTTTTTTATAAGAATTATAAGAATAAATCATAAGTCTAAAATATCGTAAGAGATGCAACTTTGAAAGAATTTCCTATATGGAAATCTGGCCTAATTATAAATGGGGAATACTTTAACCATTAAATGGCATCTCCAGAAAAGGTGTTCATACTCGGCAGCCAAGAGAGAGCCCAGGGGCTGAGGCACGTGGCCTGCACATGCCAGATCCTGGTTCACGCCCTCCCAAGGACCCTGAGAACAACCTCTAAGCGTGGTCAAAGGTACCCTCCTCCCCAATGTAGCACTAAGATATTCCATTTCTCAAGATGGTGCCACTATATCTAAACAGCTGGTTAGCACTGCACTGTAGCACTGTCCTCCCATTGGTCATCGATTTGCTTGAGCGGGCATCAGTAATGTCTCCATTGTGAGACTTGTTGTTACTGTTTTTGGCATATTGAATACGTCATGGGGAGCTTGCCAGGCTTTGCCGTGTGGGCAGGATACTCTCGGTAGCTTGCCGGGCTCTCCGAGAGGGACTGAGGAATCAAACCCAGGTTGTCCCAGGTCAGTTGAGTGCAAGGTAAACGCCCTACCCACTGTGTTATCGCTCCAGCCCAAACAGCTGGTTAAAAGTATATAATTTAAGAGATGGAAAGACAGTACAGGAGTAAGCAACTTGCCTCACACTCAGCCAAACCCAGCTCAAATCTCTGACAATATATAAGCCCATCCCCTACCCCCCAACCACCAGGGGCCCCTCCTAAGCACAAAGCCTTGAAGAGCCCCTGAGTACAACTGGGTGTGGTCCATTCAAACTTACCTCAACCAAAATGAATCAATAAGCATAACACAGTTTTAAGGTTAGAAAGCTCTTCTATCAGTCATCATCCTCATTCTAGGGAGTGGACAGTTGGCACTGTCCCAGCAGGCTTCCCAACCTCAGCACCAGTGGTGCTTGGGGTCGGACTATAAGGATCTCTGTTATGCCCATCATTCAGCTACCCACCAGGTGCCAGAAGAAGACTTCCCCCGTGCGGCCACCCCAAACCCCTCAGCACACTGCCCTGGACTGAAAACCAGCCAGCAGGAGAGGCAGGGCTACAGGGGTAAAGCTCTCTCCAGGGTGGATGCTGCCACAGTGTGGCAGTGACAGTCAGGAGCATGAAGGGCCCCAGGACATAGGCCAGTGACACTCCCTAGCCTGAGTCGGAACTCAGTGTGTGAGAGATGAGAAGGGGAGAATGAGAACAGTGAGAGGCAGGAGGACCAGCCCCCATGCCCACACTTCAAGATAGAGAGGCGAGAGGTAACATGAGCAGGGACTGGGTCAACAGCACAGTGGGAAGGGAATGTATCTTCATGCGCCAACCCCAGTTCAGTCCATGGCACCCCATACGGTCCCCCGAGCACCACCAGGAGTTATCATTACTGCCAGAACCAGGAGTAAGCCCTGATCACTACCAAATATGATCCCCAAACTAAACAAAACTATAAAGGAGAAGGCCTAAGTGACAGATCAGTGGACTGGCACCTGCTTTAGTTTGGAGGCCCAGGTTCAAGCTCAGCACTGTGTGGTCCCTTAAACACTTCGGGGAGCATCCCAACTTGCCCAGAGTAAGCCTTGAAGCACCACCAGGCATGCCCAAATCACCCCATGGCCTCCAAATATGACAAACATATAACATATCACATGGATATATCTCAGCTTTGGAGTTGCAAGTAATTTTATTTTTGTATTTATACTTTTCTATATTTCCTGATATTCTTAGCCAATAATTTCTTTTGGGGGGTCATCCTGTTTTGGGTGTTCAGGGCTTACTCCTGGCTCTGCTCTCAGGGATCACTCATAGCAGAGCTCAAGAAACCATATTGGATGCCAGGGATTGAATCCAGCTCTGGCACATGCAAAACAAGCACTTTACCCTCTGTACTATTACTCTGAACCTAGCCATGAGAACTTCTTACTTGCATCATCGAGTGTTCTCATGTTTAAAAATTTACTATTATCATTTTATAGGAAATTCCTTTTGTTCTCATCTTAGAAGAATTAGCAGCAAATATCTTAACCAAACAAAACCCAACAATCCTTCTACTATTAAATATGCACACTAAGAGGCTGAGAAATTTAATTTGTAATATATTTAAACTCTATAGCATTGTTATATATTTAACTAAACTGAGTTCTCAAATGGCTAGCATACAGCCTTAAGGCAGGAAAAAGTTCCAAAGCTTAAAAGAAATGCTAAGTTCTCATAATTACTAGGACCACCTGTGAGTTAACAAGTGTAAACACAGGCTGCATACTAATTAGGAAAGAATTACTTTTATGCTTATATCTGCATACATCTAATCAATAGCGTAGGATGAGTTAATGACCTGCAGTTCATCATTTTGTAGACTGAAAGAGAGAGCTGTGGAATTTTGACAAGCATTTTTTCTTTTTAAAGGGCCCTTAATTATTCAGATGTTCTGCTTTAACTCTCCAGTTAAAAAGGGCCCTTAATTATTTAATTGTTCTGCTTTAACTCTCCCGATAAGTTCCTATAAAACTAAAATATCATAGGTAAGGCATATATAAAAGACACATACAGTACAAGATTAGTCTGGTATTTAAAAAAGTTTTTGTTTTGGGGCCACACTCACTGTGCCCAGAGTTTACTCCTGGCTCTGCACTCAGAGATCAGTCTGGCAGGCTCAAGTGACCTGTGGGGTGCCAGGGATCAAACCTGGGTTGGCCACGTCCAAGGCAAAAACTCTGCAAGTTGTGCTATTTTCAGCCCCAGTCCAGTATTTCTCAAAAGCATTCCACATTCACACCTTACAACAACTATCATTATTCGTTCCTTAGAGAAATTAGTTTGATGACATTGAAATTAGAAGTCATTTTCCTTTCTTCCAAACTCCTAAAAATAAGGACAATACAAAATCTGTAACCCTGAGAAGGTTTAAACCTCACTGCTATATTCTACATTCCATTTCAATCTGCATATTAAGAAAATATTATACTATAATACAAGCTATTTATCTACCATGATATATTATATATAATTTAAAATAAGTATTTTACTACATATTGTATATGAAAAATTAATATGCAAGAGTATTTGTAATCTTAGAACTGATTATTATGAAGAAACCATAGATATCTGTATCTTTATTTAAAGAATACATAGCACTGGAAGCAGTGTGCCAAGCAAGCAGGACAGTGAACTGGAAGACCCCCTGCTTATCTAAGGTGCCCAAATGAGCACTTAGGTGAGAGGGGGCTCCTGTGGCTTTAGAAGTGTGCTGGAAGTAGAACTATAACCCAGGATCTGCACCAATGTGGGCCCCACCCCCATAGGTACAGCAGCGGTCGGGGGCATGGCCACCAGTTAATTTCCCCTTTCATAGTGCACTGGACTCATATCTCAGCCTTTGTTACCAAAATCTTTTGAGGGCAGCCTTACTACCAAAACCACATGAGGCCAGTAGGCTACTAGACTATTCCAATCAAAATACTCCCAAAACTCACCAAAATAAGGGTGAACACGAGAGTCTGTACAAAACCAATCTAAAAGAACATGTCCTGTGAAGATGCACTAGAAGCCCCAAATTAATCACACAGGAGCACCAAAGAGGAAGTTAATATCCCTGAAGAAGAATGAGGAGACCACCATTGACTTAGCTCATCCAGAGTCTTCCCTGGGGTGAGAGGGGAACACTGATAATGAACTGGAGAGATTCACCTCCATCATACTACAGCATCATGGGGAAACAGTGCATATCCCAAACAGTGCAGATCCCAACTCCCAGAAGTGGATGAAGAAAAGAGCCCAGAAGCCTCAACAGCGAATATCCACATACACAATCTCTCTGATAAAAAATTCAGAGATGAAATGGTGAGGATGTTCAATGAGCTCAA